TTTCAGCCAGTGGCCACTGTGGCCAGTTCAGGGTGTCTGCGAGGGAGGGGAGCACCTTGTGCTCAGACTTTCATCAGGGAAAGGTAATGCCAGTTGCTCAGAGTCCAGCCCCTTCCAGCACCCCCAAACTCCCCACTCTCTGTCTTCCAAAGAAATCCCAGCCCAAAATCTTCTCCGCTCCAAGACGCCAAGATTTCTACTGGCCAGAGAGCACGGACTTTAATGGGGGAGACACAGGGAGAGGAGTGTGTAGACACACCGGGGGCTGAGCTCCGGCCCAACGGGCAGAGCTCCTGCCCGCCAGGTCCCTTTGGGGCGGCTCGGTGCCTTGGGCAAGGTGGGGCTGGGCTGGCAGGGACCCCCGTGCCGCTGGAGGGACTGCAGGGGATTTGCTCCTGGGTGTTCCTGCTGCAAACCCAGATGGTTAGGGGAGCTTCCAGGGCTGGAGGAGAGGCCAGTGTGGCGCTGGGAGGATGAACGGGCTCAGGCTGCTCAGCAGAGCAGCAGCCCCTGCTGTGAAATGGGCTGGCCCCGGGCCAGGCAGTGGTGGGGTCAGGGGCAGACGGTGGCTCTGATCCGCACGCAGGGCGGCTGGGTCGGGAGCTGGAGGCATCCCCGGGCAGGAGAGGCGGCAGCTCTGCAGCTTCACAACAAGGGCACAACAGCCTGAGTGCTGGAAAAGAGAGCTGTGGAAATTCGCTGCCTCTTTTCCCTCATTTTTTTCCCTGACATGGGTGGGAATTAACTCTTAGACCTGCTCAGAGGGGACATGGCCAGACACGGCATCTTAAACCCCGAGCTCAGAGCAGGAATTAGCGCCTGAGACCTTGTGGTCAGAGTCATGCAGAAAATCAAATTAAATGATCGTCGCTGTTGTTATGGCAATTCCTGCCTCCCTTCTCTGCTGAAGGATTGATGAACGAGGCGTTTTCAGCCAGAGCCTGGTGTTCCCCTCTTTGCCTGGGCTGGGCAGGTGACCTGCTCCGCTGCCATGGGGCACACACAGCGGTCCCGGGGGGGCCTCGCTTGGCTGCCAGCCCTAGGGATGCTGCGGGGAGCAGGCTGCACCCCACTGCAAACACCAAGCAGGGGCAAAACGCAGCAAGCCAAGCTGCCATGAGGGGTCTGCTCTTTGTGCAGGCTGGTGCTGTCTTTAGGGCACACCAGCAGTTACAGAGACGTACCCACGGACTGGCTGCTCCCCTTTTTCCTCAGCCTCTGGGGAGCTCGGAGGGCTGGCGCGATGCTCTCCCTGCCCGCAGATCCTGCTCTGACACCGCAACTTCATCTCCACAGACATTAATCTGTCCACGTCTGCCTGGCCTGCCCTGGCCCGCTTCCCTCTGACACCTCATTAAATTGTTTCGCCGTCACCCTCGCAGGATAAGATCACCTCTCCCGCTCCGAGCTCCGCGTGACGCCGGGGAC